GTCCTGTATGTGGCAAATCCATGTACGGTGAAGTAAAATTCTCTTAAGGGAGTTTTTCTAATTTGTTCTAATTAATTTTGTAATAGGAGACTAGTGTCCGGTTGTAGGCAGTGGATATTACAGCTATTTTCTCTTTTGCGGTAGGAAACTGGAGACCACGTTTGTTAGATCTTCTCCCCAGCAGCGAAGGGAGTGAACTCCAGAATGAGTCAGGGTTTGGGCTTGAACCCTGGGTTAGTGGCTTTTTTCCTGTAAAAGGAAAGTCACTGAACCTCCCTAAGCCTCAGTTTCTTCATCTGTAAAATTGACATAATACTAGTTACTGAAGTTGTGGGAATTAATGAGATACTAATGAGTACTTATCTGGCACATAATAAAAGCTTAATGTTGGCTCTTAGAGTCAAAAGCATGCAGTCAAAATGACAACTGACAAAGAGATTAGGTTTTGATTGCCATGCACAAATTTGGACATATGTTTTTATTGCTCAGAAGCTTTATTGACTTTTATTTTTCAACAGTGTTCCAAATAGGTGAGGTTGCTGAGTGATCTGTGTTTTGCGTGAATAAAGTTTTGTTATAATTTGCGTAGTGGCATTTGAGGCAGCAGCTCATGTGCATTTGATGATTACTGTAGAATAGTTTTTCTCGGATGCTGGCTTTTCAGCAGCAGCAATGTGTATCTTACTGTTATTCTGACCTCTCCTTTCCTTGTCTGCAGTGCTGAGGGAAGTCTGATGAATGGTGGCAATTTTAGTAGGAAATTGAGTCCTGTTAGGAATCTTGGTGGTTTTTCTGTCATCCTGCTCCAATGTCGAAATTCACCAAATGCTTCATAAAATGTGGCTCCTCACTGACTTAGCCGCTTTGTGTTTTCCCTTTTCTCTATCAGATCAATTTTTGGTCAGCAACTTGTTGCCAACATCAAAAGTTCTTTACCATTATTCTAGGGAAGAGAACAGTCAGTACTTTTAAAATGAAAACTGTATAGTAAGCTTTTGGGGCATTTGACAGAGATGAGTGTGAGTAGGAAAAGGTCTCCAGCCTGTTTCTTTTTTCTTCCAGAAATGCTCTAGTAGACTGATATTCATCTTTTTGAGAATATGGTTCCATGTAGTGACAGAGTGATTTGGAATCATGCGAGTGGGTCTACGGGGGTCTTCTTTTTCCATTTCCATTAAGGGAAAGGCACCAAGAACCCTGCCTCCTTTCTAGGGACATATATTCAAGGCCGACTTCCATGTCATGATTTTGACCTTGAACAGCTCTCGTATGCATTATCTCACAAGACAGGCATTCCAGCTCTTAATTCCTTTTAGATGGGAACACTGAGGCCAGGACACTTGCCCAAAATCCTCCTGATATCTTTGTAGGCTAGGACTTACCCCGGTTCCTGAGTTAGTCCTGTGCTTTTTCCTGAAAGACGTTTTTGGGGGTAATAAATGCTCTGTGCTTAATTCACTCCCCTGCTTAAAAAGCTTCAGGCTGTGACCAGCCCACCACTTGTCCAGCCATATTTCACACCTCTCTTGCTGAACTATTTGTCTCTGTGTCTTTGTACCTTCTCTTTCCTCTTCTGTTTGCTTGTCCGTCTCTTGAACTGCTAGACATTCCTTATAAGCCTCTTCCCCAGAAGCACTTGTTTAAATAGTCTCTCTTCCTCCTCTTCCCTTTATTGGTCCCACCAAAGAGGTCCCCTCTTTGGAGTTTAGCTCCCGCTTTAGGTCCCCACATCAATACCTTATTACAGCATCCATCATATTGTATTAATGATTGTGTATTAATGATTGTCAGTTTTCCCCACTGCACTGCGAGCTCCTGTTTACCTAGCAGCACTTGGTAGGGATTCATTTAAGTTATCTTTGTCTCATAAATTTCCTCCCTTTCCATATATGAACCTCCACTGTCTTCTTTATTCTTTGCTTTAAATACGTATACATGTTTGTGTATGTATATGCAAATACATATGTGACTTAGTTTGAAAATGACAAGGCTAAGACTACTGTGGGTTTTTTTCCCTTATTTAAGTCAGTTTCATCTTGTGCTTTGGGGGAGGGGGAAGAGGGGTATGTGCCTCTCTACACCTGGAGAGGTCATGCAGGGATTGTGGTGGTAGCAGCCAAGGAAGGCCATTCAGGGGCTTTTAATCGCTGAATAATGGCAAAATCCTCTGAAGATTTACAGCTTGGAGGCCTCATGCATCCTCATCCCACCTAAAACCCACACACTTGAGGCTGTAGATCCTAGTTTCTAGTTCTGGCATCTGACTTCACTGCCAACTTGGAGGTGGTGCCTATGGCAGTGGTTCCTAATTCTGTGAACTTGGATGTATTGTTCATTGGATATATTGTTCATTGACATGTTGTGTGATGTGTTACTAGTCATCTGGTTTCTTTATCGTTAATGCAGTTGTCCTAATACGAATATCCTTGGTGACAATCAGCAGAAACCCACTGTAGCTAACTTATGCCAACAAGAGGATTTATTATAATAAAAATTTTTATAATAAAAATACAAGTGTGTTTTATAGAACTGTGGGCCAAAGGTGTGGTTGGGCCTCACTAAAGCCTGGAAAGCCATGGGAGTCCAGGCCATGATTGTGCGTCTGGGGGTTGTGGTTTTATTTCCACTTAATCTCTTCATGTGTCTCATTCTCTGCTTCCCCACAGTGTAGCCAAATCTACAAGTCTCTAGTTAAAGTATAGCACCCCCATCCAAATTAATGGAGAAGATAAAATGATTAGCCCTTTGCGGACCGCTGTCTGCTTCCCCATGCAGTTGATGGGGAGCAGGGGATTCACTCCAGGACACAGAAACAGGGAACCGTTGTCTGCAGAAAGGGAGTTTTGGGTAGGACAGAATCCTAAAAAATGTCTCTTGATTGTTTTGTTTATGGAATGTAAAGAAAGAATTCCATTAATCATTTTAAGAATTGATGTAGGTGGTTTTGGATAGTATAAATTCTTATCATCCTAAGGTGATAGATACTTCTGGGGACATAATAGGTAGCACTTTCCATGCTGGCTTCAGTGTTTGAACTGAATCCCCAGCAGTAGTCAAGATGATCACTGGAGTTTTCTGACAGCTGATTGAATTTAATGAATAGCTTTGCTCTCTGCTCAGAGAAAGATGATAGACCTGTCAAAAATAATTGTGCTTTAGTTTAGTTCTTTGCCAATGACAGATGATGAAAACTCTCAATGAGAATTTCTAAATTACCAAAATACATAGCACTTACACATGTGAGAATATAGGCATACCTTGGAGATATTGCGGGTTTAGTTCTGGACCACTGCAGTAAAGCAAGGTTCACAAAAAAGCTAGTTGTAATCTTTTTGCTGGTGGAGAGTCTTGCCTTCCGTTTGTAAAAAAATACAACATCTGTTAAGTGCAATAAAGCAAAGCACAATAAAGTGAAGTATACCTGTAGTCTCTCGTGCATAACCTAGAGCAGGGCTCTCCAACCCCTGGGCTGCGGACTGATGGTATTGGTCTGTGGCCTGTTAGGAACAGGGCCACATAGTGGCAGGCAAGTGAGCAAAGCTTCATCTGTATTTGCAGCCACTCCCCAGTGCTAGCATCACCGCCTCAGCTCTACCTCAGATTATCAGGCATTAGATTCTCATAGGAGCTGATCTAGAGCAATACATCACAATCATATGGGGAGCTTTTTACAAAACTAGAGGCCCAACAGCATCCCCTACACTCAGAATCCTTAGGCTTGTGGTAAGGCCTATGTGTCTGTGGAGGTAACAACTCCCCAGATAATCTGACACCCCCCAAGTTTGAGAAGCACTGCCTCAGTGGGACTTGACTCCATCCTGGGATGGAAACTGTAGCCATCTTTAAAACAGATCTTGTCCAGAATGGGTTCTCTGAAACAGCCATGACTTTCTTCTTCAGCATCAAGATGGGCTGTGTAGCCTCTCCCTGCCTTAGCTGTACCCCAAGTTTCTTCTAATGCCGTATTTCAGTCTGAATTAAGAACTTTAGCAAACTCACACCACCCGGAGCTTTCTGCCAAAAAAAACAAAACAAAAAAATTCCAGTTTTATTTGTTGACAAAACTGGTTGTGTCTTGTAGAATTTTCTAGTCAGGATTTGACTGGTTGAGTCCCCATGGTGTCATTTAACATGGTTCCCTGTCTCAGTGTTTCTTATAAATTGGTAGATTGACATAGAAGCTCAAACAGATTGAGGTTAGCTATTTTGGCAGGAATACTTCATAGGTATGTCAGATTGCATTAGGAGGCCCACTATGCCTCTCTTGTTATGGTAACAGCTATTTATGACTGTCTTTGGTCCATTAATTCATTAAGGATAACTGCTTATCTTTGAATATCCAGTAAACACTGAACCTAACAGGGAGGCATTTGAAGATATTTTTATTGAGAAACAGTGACATAGAACCTGGCCTTAATTCATTATTAGAAGTGATTGTATCCCATGGCACTGTCCTGGGGTCTTAGGTAACTTAGAACAGGCAAAGAATGTTTGTTCCCAGCTGTTTTTACCGAGTCCTCACATGCTACAGAATAGATGGATTAGTGTTGACTCAATACATTCATATATTCCTGTTCTTAACCTTCAAGACTTTGACTAAGTCCATTTTCTCTTAAATGTTTTGCTTTCAATCCTTGATGCTCACTGAAGGCAGATGGAAATCATTCTGTGGAATGACTTCTATTCTCTTTCTGACTCAGTGTTTGAGCTGCCTCATTTTGCTGTCTGACATTTGATCCTTTAGATAGGGAGTGCCCATCCCTGCCCCACCAATTGGGACAACTAATATTTGTCAGTCCTAAGTAGTTTAATACTTTAAACTAATTTATTAGAATTTTGTCTTCCTTTAGTTAAAAATACTTTTTAAAATAGTAACTAGCTTCTCAAATAAAAAACTCCTGAGGGTATATGATATTTTCGTGTGTATTCTGAAAGCATGGCTTTAAGTTATTCATTTGAGCCCTTAAAGAAAAATATTACCCTTTGTTCTTCTTTTTTAGGAAATTCACACAAACGAAAAAGAAGTAACAGAGAAGGAAGTAACCCTTCACTTGTTGCCAGGTAACAGTCACGTTAGCCTCATACCTCATGTCAACTCAATGCCAGAGATAAATTATGTCATCCCTAGTATCACTATGTATAAATGCCTTTGTTTTCATCCAGACATCATGTAACAGCAATGAGTTGGACAAATTATCAAGGTCTTTAGTTCAATAATTACACACACACCTGGGTCTGAGTAATACAACATCTGTAAAGAATTTTTCTTCTTTTCTTCTTCCCAAGCTGATGGAAATAAACCTGGGAAATTCTCACCTCTTTTCACAAGCAAATGAGGCCTTTTCCAGGTTGCCTTACTTAGTCCCATCCAATTTTCTGGTCCTCAATCATGAAAATCCTGGTCCTCAATCATGAAAATCTCCCACAAAGCCCTACACCCCATACACTCTTCCACCAGCTGCTCAAGCGTAGCTGCCGCTGACCAGCACAGCTGTCTGGCAAGCGTTGGTGGGTGGCTCACCTGTTGTCTCTGCTTGTGCATCTGAGTGCCAGGTGTGCTGGGGTTTACCAAACCCACACTGGGGCTGCCAGGGCTTTCTTTGCTTTGTGGTCATCACCAAGGCTCCTGGATTGGTTGGGTGTTTTTGAGATGGGGATAGTGACTCTAGCTTAAGTTAAGCTTTGATCATTTCTGAATTCAGAAGCAGAAACTTGGTGGTGTATCCTCTTCATATGTGGGGCTGTCGTGTGAGCTGTTCATTCAGTTTTTCTTCCACTTCTTTCTAATCCCAAATGTTTTTTTTTCCATGAGGTTTTTAAGAAGCATTTTCCCAAAACAATAGAGGCTTTGTTCTGGTACTTTTTTTTTTATTGCATTTTACTGGGAGGATATGAATATGCACAGGTTTCTGATTGATCCTCCTTGTTTGGTAAATATATTGGATCTTGTAACTTTTTAAAAAGTGTTTTTAAGTTTCAAAGGGTTTTTGGATAATAATGGCCTAAACCCTAATCCACAGACCCTATTGTCTTTCCTTTCCTTGGGTTATGGATAGTGCTAACTTTATTTTTCACTTGGGTTACATATATTTTCCTCTTCCCAGGATTACTCAATGGCCTCTTCTAGGTATGCAGTGAGCCCCCGTTTCCCAGACTAGACTGAGATCTTTTCTAGTTCCTGCCTCCCGTGAGTCAGGAGTCCGCACACACAAGGTCTTAGCCACAGCGCACAGCGCCGTGCCCGCACAGCCCCGTGCCCATGTGCCATGCCAGCCACTGCATGCTGGTTTCTGGTCTCCAGAGCGTGACACAGACTGATGATGGCTGGTCTTGGGGAAAGATTCACTATTAAAAGCTGTTTCATGCTCGGAGTCGAAAACACAGGAAGCCTTGCTCACATGTTTTCAACCAGGGGACTCAGCTGAGGCACTTTTTCTGGGATTATTTTAAACCCTAACGAGGCCCTTACTTCATTGTTTTCTTCAAACTGTGGTCTCTCTAGAGGCTGACCTAGTGACTGAGCCATCTTCTAGTATCTCCTTAGTAATTAACCCTTGGAAGATGAAAAAAATACTATAATGGGCCTCCCTCGATAGTCTGTCTGAAGCTTTTTTGTTTATATATTGACTGAAGGTGAGACTAAATGAATTTCTAAGCCAAAAGTAAATTTAAAGATATTGAAGGAAATATCCAGAGGGAGATTGAGGGGAAGATGGTTATCTGTTGGAGGAGAAAATTTCGTTTCTTTTTTGTTGCGAAGCGTTTACACTTAGTTTTTTATTTCCTATATATTTTCGTTTTCTTCCTCTCACCCCACGTGCAGCCCTCATGAGCTTCCGTGCTTCCAGGGAGCAGAGAATGCTTACCTATCCCTAAATCCTAATCTTTTGACTGTGTAGATAAGTACTCTATCTCCAGGAAATACAGCTTCTCATGCAGGCGGGGTGCCTGCAGATAGAGCAGGAAAGGTGACACACTGAGAGGAAATGCTCTCAACTAAGAAAGAGAGGAAACAGTTTTTTTCCCACAAACCTCTGGCCTCCTTTTTCCTCCCATCTTTGTCTGTGGAGTCAGAATCAGTGTGGTAGTGCTGCATCCTCTGTACCTGAGGAAGTTGCTTGAAGGCCCCGTGGCCAGGGAGACACCTCCCTGACTTTTAGCAACCCCAGAGTGGGAAATGGCCCGCTCTCACCAGAAAGCGGGCTTGAGATCTGCGTTCCAGAGCGTGCTGGCGAGCCTTCCTGGCTTCGCTCGTTGAGGGTATTCTGTGGAACGTCTGCTTGCATCCAAGTAACAAAAACACTGATATCGTTTGCTTGCAAGTGTAACAGAACATTTCCACCTCTTCGGAAACTTCCGTTATTCACAGTGAGAAGATAAGAGAAATGCCCTGTGTGAAGGTGTATGTGAGCCATTTTGATTTCACTTATCAGTGGTCCCCACTCAGCCTTATCTTCTCCCCTAAGTTTTGCAGCTCCTGTCATTTTGGGAAGTTTAAACTCCTGAAGTGTTGTGCTGTAGTTTGTTGGTCTGTATGTGAATAGAGCCGTGGAAGCTTTCACTGTTTGCATGCTGTGTATTCCCGGCGAACTCTGAGGAGGACTTGTTTTGCTTTTGACCAGGTGAGCAGCTGCTTTGCGAAGCCAGCACAGTCCTGAAGTATGTCCAGGAAGATTCTTGTCAGCGTGGGATCTGTGGGAAACTTGTCTGCACAGACTTCAAGATTGCTTTCTTGGGCGATGATGAATCTGCATTGGATAATGATGTACGTTTGAGCTGCGTTTGGCTGAGTCTGGGGGATCAGTGCAGTCATGGCCCTAGGGTCTTTTTCCCCCAGCTTCTTAGTTCCTCCATGCCCAGCAAACACAGACCCGAAGGACAGAAGTCCCCACCACTAGTCTGCGCTCAGTCCCTCAGGATCTCCTTCCGGTGGCAAGACCATTCTGCAATTTCTCACTCATGCCTCCTGTCACACTGACTTGTGTCTGACTTCATAGGTCGATGATCAGCTTTTTCTTACTTTCTTTTATATTTCATCACAGTGTATATCACTCATTGGAATCTTAGCTCTCCAGATATACTAGTTCCCGTTTTCACTATACTAAACACTTCCTTAAATTCAGGAACTGAGTTCAGTTATGCAACTGATGCTGAACGCGGCATTTATGTTAGGGTTTGCTTTATGTTTACTCTGCACCGAATAGCAGTGTCCTCAGAAGACCTGTCCGTACTTAGGAAGAGTGAGCAGTGTGGTAAGGGGAGAACTGCTCACACACCCGGAGAGCGGTGTACGCTCATGGAAACCCAGCCGTCCCTGCCCACCCTCGCTTCCGAAACAGCCACGGCCCCACCGCTGTCTCAGGGTGCGGTCTCCGGGCTGCTGTCCGCTGCAGCGGCTTCATTCCTAGTCCTGTGCAAAGACAGCATTTACAGAAACTCGAGTCCCCTGCTAGTTTCTTCCTGTATCAACTGCCACTCACCTGCTTGCTGTGGTGGAGAAACCTTAACCTGCCCGCCACTTCCCAGCACCTCTCAAGGTGATCGTGTGTGGCATGGTATGTTTGCCCGGAGCAGCCCAGGAATGGCATGCTCTGCCTGGGTTTGAAAAAAACAGTGATCACCAGCTTTTCTTATACATTTCATTGTCCTTTTCCTAGGGATGTGGCTGTATTTCCCTTTTTTCTTAATGTGCAAGCGGAGAATGGTGATTTGCTCTTTCTGTAAATATCTAACAGTGCATACAAAGAAATCACACCTGTTTCCTTTTGACTTTTAGGAGACCCAATTTAAGAATAAGGTTATAGGAGAAAACGACATTACACTCCATTGTGTCGATCAGATTTATGGAGGTAAGTGTCTGTATTCTCTTGTGGTGTTGCCAGCTTTTGAAAGTATAGCTGATAATGATAATGTTTTTGTGGTGTTTTATAGTTTACTAAAAGTTCTTCACATATATATCTCATTTAAATCAGTTTTGTAGATAAAATTGAGATGTGAAATAGTTTGTTTGGGGTTACTTAGCTGGAAGAGCTTGGAATTGAACTTAGAACCTGTTCTTTCTAACATTCCACAATGTCATTACATATTAGATTTTTGATCATACTTTTTGCTGTCACTGTTAGCCGTGTAGGTTTTACTTTAAAGGCTAATCCGACAAAGATCTGTTGTATTGCACTTGATGTCTTTTCTGCTTTCAAGCTTCTCTCTGTTCTACTTCTCTATTTTTGTAGACAGAGCTTTTCCGGAAATCACTCAGTAGTCATTTATGACGTTCCTAACACTAGTAGGTGCTGCATGGTCCAAACTCTGGGACAGGGAGGGAGCCACGAACCCAGGAGTCGACTGTCCCCGAAGCATGTCCCTAGTGCTCTTCCAACCATCTTTTGTAACCTCAGCTTTCGGAGCTGGGTTTTCAGCATGTTAGTAACGTTAGTTCCACTGACAGTAGCCAGTCCGTTTTGGTCTTGGGCCCCTGCTGACAGTTACTTAGAAGGTAGCACCTTTCTTTTTACTTTCGAGAGCTATCTTTAGAAGTTAATAGTCTGCCTTGTTTCTTTAGCATTAACTTGTTGCCATATAACTTAATTTCTCTTCTTGATTTCATTGTTGATGTACAGTATTTGATGAGAAAAAAAAAACTCTCTTTGGACAACTGAAGAAATACCCCGAGAAACTCATCATCCACTGCAAAGACCTCCGGGTATTCCACTTTTGTCTGAGGTACACAAAAGAAGAGGAAGTCAAAAGGGTAACTAGTTGCATATATTTTTAGGTTTTATTTCCCATCAGGTTTTCCCCACTATTTTTTGCTTATATTGCATGCAGGTTGAGGGGAGCTTTTTACTGTTTAAAGTTGAAGTTGTTCTAACCCTGTATACTTTGATTGGAATTGAAAGAGAATTTGGTAAAGCGTGCCTGTATGTTATCTTGGCACATGCTACCTTTAATCCTTCAATTTGTAATCTTTTTATTCCTGGAGGCTCCAAAGGCCGGGAAGTGGTAAAACAGGGTCTGGAGGCAGATGGGGAAAGGAAGTGGGGGAGCAGCTAGAAGCAAGCCTCTTCCTTCGCCTCTGACAGCCTTTCCAAGTAATAGTGACCCCCAACTTCTGGGTGAGCGAGTTCATATCTGGGAGGTAGTGGAAGTATATGGAAGGAGGAGAAGGTACACAGTTCAGATGGACAGAGCCAAGTCACTAGACGAGCCTGGGCTTTTGGACACTGTGGTCAGCTTAATGTGGTTGCTACAACAAAATGAGATGTATAATGGTGAAGTGGTTACAGTGGTCATTGTGACTTCCCGTATTTTTCTTATTGAGAATCGAAGGTCTCAAACTCACACTCTCCTGATAAGTGCATTAGGAGAACCTAGCGAGAGGCCACTTCATCTGTTGTCTTTGGCTATGGTGAGTTATGCACACTTTACAGGCAGGTCCTTGTTTTTTTTTTCAGGTAGTATGGAAGTTCAGTTAGAATAATAAACATGACTCCAGTATCTATTCTGAGCAAAAGAGTGGTGTAGCTATGGAAAATTCCCCGAGAAGCCAGAAACTTCATTTTGAATGATGATTTTTTTGTCATCTGTCCAAACATACTTTTGTTTGGAACGTCAAACAAAAAGCACAATGGGTTGATTTCTTATCTTCTAGAAGGAAGTCCTAAAGACCATAGTGGATCAGAATAGTTAAGTATTTTGGCGATTATATCAGCTGTATGTCTTTAATATCAGGTTTTTAGAGTATCTGAATATGGCACCTGAGGTTTTTAGCATTTAGTTTTTGAGAAATTAGATGATGTTTTTAAAATTTCCCTAGAAGTTGAAAGCTCTTAGACAATCTGACAGAATGATTTATTTATTTGGCCATTATTCCAAGAGATAATGTCATAAATGCAAACAGGCCTCCATGAGTGTTAGCGTCCTGCCCGTCCTGCGTCCTGCCCCTAGGAGCCTATTAGCATGACTGAAAACCTAGACAGCTCAGCGTTTATCTGCCTAAAGCATGACTGTAGCCATTGCTTGGTTATTTTCTAGATTGTCAGTGGCATAATTCATCATACCCTGGCTCCTAAACTGCTTAAACGGTTGTTTCTGTTTTCCTATGCAACTGCTGTACAAAACAATACAGGTAAGTGTCTTCTGGGTTTTAATTTGTGGGTAGACGGGCCTTCCAATTCCTGCCTGAAACTAGTAGGAAGAAACCCAGCCATGAAGTTTTTCCTCCTCCTATTTAGCAATTGCTCATCTCTGCTTGGATGACTCATTCAGGTTTCTTAAAAAGAAAATAAAAAGTTTCTATTTTTTTTTTTTCTGTGATCTTTCTTGCTTTAACTTACCTTTTAGGTTTGTTTGCTTTTTCTGAAGGATTATTGGTTTGATTGTTTCCCATTCTCTGCCCATATAACTGGGAATGTGAGACTGTAGAGCAACAAAATTGAGACAAGTTTAAAATAGCCCTGTTTGTCCCTGAGTTCTTTTCTCCACTATAATATACTTGATTTCATTTCATAAGACTCTAGAGAATGTCTTGCATTCTAGAAAGTTTTTAAACAACTGGAACATGCTTTATAGCAAGTATTTTGGGAGAAATGGAATAGTTGTACATAAGAGAACATATCAGAAAACTAGTTTGGTTAGAAAACTTAAGATTCCAAATGTTTTCCATTCACTTTGCTGAAAAAGAGAGCATTCTTTTTAACTAAGAAACTTTGGTCATTTGAGTTAACTATTAAGAGTGCCTAGCGGACATGGTTCCTTAGTGTAGCGGTTAGCACGTCTGCTTTACACACCAGAAGGTCCTGGGTTCACGCCCCAGTGGAGCCACGGTCCATGGTCTATAGCCATGACACCCTGAACAAGCCTTATGTCTGATCTCGGAAGCTAAGTAGGATTGGGCCTGGTTAGTACTTAGATGGGAGATCACCTAGGAAGACCAGGTGCTGGAGGGGTAAATGATATTAATAAATAATAATAATGCCTAGCATTATATAGCGTTTTCACAGATGTCTTTTTCCTTCTCGAGATCTCTTCCCTCTGTTTGTTCCCATTCTCTGCCCATTACTCTTAGCATGATGTTGATCCTGTGTGCTATGTGCTTTTCTTCAGGGAAGTGGCATGTTTGTTTAACAGACTATAACAGGCTTTCTGGAATGCAGTTGCTTTGTCACCCTCTGCTTGCTCATTGAGTAAACATTTGTCGGACGCTTGCGATGGGTCAGGCACTGTGGGCATACGGAGGTGAACGGGACTAAATCCTGCCCTCTAAGAGCATCACATCAAACAGTGGCAGCTGAGTGACATTTCCTCTGGTGGAGGGGCCTTAGGAGGAGGAGGGAGTCCCACCCACGCTGGGGAGGGAGGGCTGTCAGAGAGGGCTAAGGCTGAATGTGAGCTCATGTGAAGGATGTGGGAGTGTCTGGTAGGCACAGAGGAGTATTTTAAGCAGAGGATTATCATGTGCAGCTATGTAAATATCAGAGAGCAGGTTGCATTTTGGAAACCATGGTGATTTAGTAGAAAAGGTATGAATTTCGGGTCTGTCCCACCTCACTTCAAATCCTTACCCAGCTCTTTAGTAGCTTGGTGATCCTGGGGATGACACTTAACTCTCGGGGCCTCTATTTTCTCATTTTAAAAACAATAGTATTTTGAAGTATTTTGAAGATTATAAATTATTAAACGTATGACACATAGGGTACAGTCAGTAAATGAAGGTCAAGAGTATAACTGCATATTATTCAGTGTGGATCATGTTCAGAGAATTATGCTGATATAAAATATACTTAGTACTACTGTTAGGCTGAACATAAAATTTGTTCGTTCAGTAAGTTCATCTTCGTGAATGACAGATCTTTTCACGGTAGATAACGTGTGAGTGCTGATTAACTGGGTGCTGGCTCACCACAGCTGGTTGCAATATGAGACTTGCAAAGTATGACTTGGTTGATTACTGTAATTTATATAAGCATTTATTGGGTTTACATTTGAAAAATCATCCTCTTACATCCCGATTCTTGGTCTGGACCCACTTAGGAGAGTTTCTCAGCGGGTCAACGTGTCAGTCTGTGTGCCAAAACCCTTACTTTGATAGACCTGGCAGTTTCATTACCTTGCAGTGGCTTTTTGTGCTTTGGCTGAAGGGTCCTCAACGACATGGCGTTTAGGGAAGGACTTACTGTATTCCTGAGAAAAGGATCTCCTATACTTGAAGTATTATTTATGTCCATGGAGATATATGTTTTTGCATTTATTCCTTTATGGAAATTGTCTTTATTGCTGCCTAGGTTTAAATTCCAATTCTGCTATTGCCTAGCTCTGTGACTTTGGGCAAGTTACTTGACCTTTTTGTACCACATCTGTAAAATGGAGGAAATAATATTACCTAACCTGTAGGGTTATAAGATTGAGTTAATAAATGTAATATGCTTGGAATAGCCCCTGGCACGTACTGTATGTTATATAAGCTTAACTACTATTTTTATCATTCTCGTTATCGTCCTTTGTACAATCGTCTGGTTTTATTAAAAAGACCAGGTGAGAGTTTTAGCAAATATTTTTTTTTCTTGGAAAAAAATATTTTTCCCAGAAGGCTTGTTTTTTTTCTTTTAAGATGTGCAGTGGCTTGAACTAACTGATTTGTGTAAATACCCAAGACTGTTAAGGTGTTTGTCATCCATAGCAAGTAGGGCTGTGGCTTGGAAGAGGGCCAAGGACGTATCTGTGGGGCTGTGGGAGCAGGGCTCTTGAGCGTTTCCGCCTTGCAGGTAGGAGCAGGGCAGGATTAGGGCAAAAGTATCCGTTACTGTGATGCACCAATTGGCCAGCAGGCATGGACCCTCCACTCCATGGCTATCTGATTTGTTTCTGGCCTTCAGCAACCAGGTGTCACACTGGTAAATCCTCTAGTTGGCATTGTATCTTCAAATTGAAGGAGGTTTACATTCTGGAATCTGACACGCTATTCAAATGAGTTTGCCATCCTATGCACAAATTGGTAGGGCTAAAAATACTTTTTAGCATTTGTGCTAAGCCCATCTTTTAGTGCCTCTCAGGATCTTTTTATGTTATATAAATTATCTCATAGTCAGATGACTGAAAATGGAACTATAATTACTTTTGCAAGCAGTGGAACTAGAACAACTCTTTCCTCCACTATGCAAAGACAGAGCCTCTGTCATAATTTTGGATTAATGACAAAAAAAAGGAACTAAGTTAGGATTAACCAGTAAATTCATTCTGCTGGGATATAGATGGACTTAGTAGAGGAAATTTGGGCCTAAGGATTCACTTTCACATCATTAAAATACTAGAACTTCATGACAAGATTTTATTTTCTTTTTAAATTTATTTTGTTAGCCACCAATCCCAAGAAGCATACCATCATGTTCGACACGCTTGAGGACTGGTGCTGGGAATTAGAGAGGACCAAAGGCAACGCGAAGTACAGAGCAGTGAGTGTCAACGAAGGCTACAGAGTCTGTGAGAGGTAAGCTCTCAGTGGTGTGCTTTTTAGAAACAGAGCTTTATCGAGATTTAATTCACATGCCATACAATTCACCCATTTGAAACGTACAGTGTTTTAAAATGTATTCACACAGTTGTGCGACATCACCACAGACAATGTTAGAACGTTTTTATCGTCCCCAAAAGAAACCATGCCCGTTAGCAACCTTCACAACAGCCCCAGCCAACTACTAATCCATTTTCTGTTTCTGTGTATTCGCCTGTTCTGGACACTTCCTGTAAATGGAATCGCATAACATGTGGTCTTTATGTTTGGCTTTTTACACTCAATGTGATGTTCTCAAGATTCATCCGTGTTTTCAGAATTTCATTCTTTTTTTTTATTACCAAATAATATTCCATGGCATGGATATACCATATTTTATTGACTCATTCATTTGTTGATGGACATTTGGGTTGTTTTCACTTTTTGGCTATTATGAATAGTGCTGCAGTGAACATTTGGGTTCAAGATTTTGTGCAACTGTATATTTTCGTTTTTCTTGGGTATGTAACTAGGAGCGGAATTGCTAGGCCGTGTAGTAACTCTGCGTTTAACTGTTTGAGGAACCGTCAGACTGTTTCCCGTCAGCAGTGTAAGAGGGTTTCTCTACATCGATACTGTGCTTTTTTAAGAAACCCTTAAAGTGTAAAGTGTGCCTTAAAACATTCAAAAGTGAATTTGTGTCTTTTTTCTCATCATTGTATTTGTAATCTAAGTCTAAAATTTTTAGAGGCATTTCCAAATTTATATCGTGTAGTCACTTTCCTGTTATCAAACACTTGATACATTTATTCATTTCAGTATAAACTTTTGAGTGCCTGCGATGTGCCAGGCAGCATCCTAGCTCCTGAACATACAGCAGTAAACAGAGTCTAAAAATCCCTGCCCTCCTGGGACTGTCATTTTAGTGGAAGGAAGATGATGATAGAATAAATGAATATTTGTAGTATATTAAAAAGGTAGTAAGTGCTGTGGACAAAAACAGACCAGTCACGGGCTTAGGGGGCACTCTGCTGACGGAGAGGGTTTGTCAGGCAGGAGAACAGTAGGAGCAAAGGCCCCGAGGAAGAAGCTTGTCTGGCTGTATGAGCAACAGCGAGGAGCCCAGGGGCTGGATGGAATGGTAAGAGGGGAGGCCAGGAGGAGAGGGGCAGCTGAATGGTGACAGGTTGGGAGGCTGTCAGGAGAATTTATAGTTCAGCGAGGAGGAGTTTCAGTAGAGGCATGATGTGATCTGACCTACATTTAAAGGATGACTCTGCATAATCCTCTTAGAAACGTGAATCTTACCATTTTGGAACATACTCCCCAGCACCCTGCTAACAGTTTCACAAAATTTGTACAGTAATCTTCCCTTATCCATGGTTTCGATTTCCATGGTTTTAGTTACCTATGGTCAACTGCAGTCCAAAATATTAAGTGGAAAATTCCAGAAATAATTCATAAGTTTTAAATTGGGTGCTGGTCTGAGTAGCATGGTGAAAGCTCACGCTGTCCCGCTTCATCCTATGCAGGATGTCAATCATCCCTTTGTCCCGTGTGTCCACGCTGTAGATGCTACCCGCCCACTTAGTAGCCGTCTCGGTTACCAGACAGACTGTCATGGTGTCACAGTGCTTGGGTTCACGTAACCCTTATTTTACTTAATGGCCCCAAAGTTCAAGAGTAGTGATGCCGGCAGTTTAGATATGCCCGAGAGAAGCCATAAAGTGCTGCCTTTAAGGGAAAAGGTGAGTACAGTAAAATAGATCATTTTGAGAGAGAAAAAAAACCACATTCACGTAACTTTTATTGCAGTATATTGTTATAATTGTTCTATTTTGTTATTAGTTGTTGTTGTTTATCTCTTACTGTGCCTAATTTATAAATTAAACTTTATCATAGCTAAGTATATAAAGGAAAAACATAGTATATATAGGGTTTGGTACTATCTGTGGTTTGAGGCACTCACTGGGGGTCTTGCAACAGAACCCCTATGAAGAAATGGGACTCTGGTTTTCTGTAGAACATTTCATATTCGTGGTTCTGATGGGCCCCTTCATCAGCTCAATTTTGATGCTTATCAATCTCAAATATTTGTGAAGTGCGTCCTCCTGCCACAGGGGGAACCGTGGTGACAGTAGGAGGGCCTGCAGGGCCTGCATTGCACCACCACCCCGGCCCCCCCCTCCTGTCCTTTCACAGTCACAGAGCTGGGAAAGGGAAAGTTAGGGCTTACTCAGAAAGACGCTAGAAATCCCTGCTCCTAGTAGGTGATAGTTTGTAACGTGATGTTGGTGCTGATAGAAGGCATTCCCATTCCCAGAACTGTTTAGGAAAAAATCCTGCCACATACTGATGAAACTTACTGATATTCTCATAGATGTTACCACATCAAAAATATACCTGGTAGAGAAGGCAAGGGAAAGCTTTTAATTAGTGGTCAATGCGGAGAATGGAGCTTTAGTGAGATTTTGGTACTCAAAATGC